TTATTGGACTTCTTTTGGACTACTGAAAAATAACACCCATTCACTGCCATTATAAAGCTTGGAAGAGCCAGGACATTTTTTAATGTAGCTCTGAATGGATTCGTCTGAAAGAAGAAAGTCATGTACAGCTAGGATGGCTTGAGGTGAGTAAATCATGGGCTAATTTTCATTTTTGGTGAACTATCCCTTTAATGCTTGCGGATGAAACAGCTCAACACGAGAGCCGCCGCAAACGCAATGACATCTGAAATAAAACGTCATCATGTTTTAAAGAATAGTGGCTTGATTAAGTGGTGGAAATATCGGATGATCAGCACAGAATGGAAACAAAACTCATTTTACAGGTGTAGTGTACAAACTCTACTACATAGGGATGTTTTAGATAACTAAAATAATTCACATGCTCACATTTCTTGAAAATATTTCTTGAAAATATTTGTTTTTATATTATATTATATTATAGGCCTAATAAATAATTGACCTCAGAAGGGGAATTCATGAGCAATAACTGCTTAATTTTTTCATATTATATTATATTATTATAAAGAATTTAACTGTTCTGTGTGAGATTTTTTTAATAGAATTTCTTAAGTATCACACCACTGTAAAAATGTTTTCTCAGGTGACCTAAAATGTGCATCACTTAGTTACATCAAGGGTCAAACCAAATATAAATAGTACATTAAAGTTAAAAGTTACACTTTTTTGTATAGATCTGATATAAAGAATGTTTTTGCTCAGCTGGCTGAAATATGCACCCAATAGAGAAAAGTTTTGCTCAGCAAGAAAAACATTTAGAGGGAACATTGCACTAGAGGCTGCACTCTTTCTGCTCAGTACAGTTACTAGTGTTACATGCAGAACTCGAAACTTGCATTTAATATCCAACAACAAATAATTTAGCAATATTTCAGTCTGAATTATTGCGCTCACATGCCGTCTATTTGTGCATCTATCACCGCTCCATCAGTGTCTGTAAAGTCATGCAAACATTCACAGATAAAAATACTACTGTAAGACGCAAGTTACACACTGAGGAAAATGCATCTTAAATGCATTAAACACGCATCTAAAAGGAGGCCAAACGGCTTTAAACTACATGTTGCAACTTTATTATGTTGTTATATTTCAGATGCATTTGCAACAAAGTACATCAATACAAACGGTACCGTCTCATCTCAAATCTTGTTTGAAAATATATAAATATCTTATAAAGTCACTATACCGCCCATCCCATGTGTGTCGGTCACTGTAATGGTACAAGCATTAAAATTAACACTCAAGCGCCAAATGAGAGTAAAAACCCAGCGCTGGTGAGTATTTGAAACAGTGCTACTCACCAGCCGGCCAAGAACGTTTTTTAATTCCATCAATGCTCGAGAATGCAATATGGTTTAGCTCAATTATCAAGTCAAAGACATATAACTATGTTATCTATGTGATCTTTTCACAGTTCACAGTAAATGCTGCTCCACATGAACTGCTGTGAGTTTGAGTCGTTTATAACGTGCATTTGAAAATGCAAAAACATCCAAACATCTTCTCTAGTTTGTAATGAGAAGCATTTATGAATCAAAAGAGAAGTTTGTGGTTTTCCGCTTAAATAAAGCTCTATGGTTTTTAATTAAATGAAATACACTACAGTTTCACAACCAGTAGAAAATATATATATAGCTGGTAAATTTTCTCAAGTCACTGGCCAATGGCAGATGTGACAAAATGTTTTTTAGACTTTAATACGTTAAATCTCTCCCATCACAAATAAAAAAAACACTCACACAGTAAAGAAGTGCGATCAATTCAACAGGTAAGAAATATAACAGCCATTTTTGGATGTCCAGTATATAATTTAATTAATTAAAAAAAAACATTAGAAGCCAGCAAGTTTTAAAAGATTTTAAAAGTTGTAAATGTTTGACAGTTTTCAGTTTGAGATAGTTTTCAGTTTAAAATAGTTTGAAAGATTAAAGTCTGAATGTTGTTACCAGAGGTGGGACCAAGTCATTGTTTTGCAAGTCACAAGTAAGTCTCGAGTCTTTGCATTCAAGTCCCGAGTCAAGACAGGCAAGTCCAAGTCGAGTTGCAAGTCCTCAGCTTTAAGATTCAAGTCTTAAACAAGTCATTAGTGCTTTTTGCCCAAATTAGTGTCTCAGTATTAATTACCATATCAAATTCATAGTAATTTATATCAGGAAGGCAGGTAGAATATGTTTGACATGGTTCAATTTCATGTGAGATGGGTGCCCTTAGTAAAACTACTCCAGTTCAATTTAGGAATTGTGCCAAAATAGGACAAGCAGTAAACTATTTTATTAGTAACAGAATAGCAAAGACAACATAATTTCATAGAAATAACAGCTGCAACATACTTTGCATGTGTGCATAAGAATAGCTATATGCTTCTAGGTGTTATATCTAAGCCAATGAGACATTATTTGGAACCTCAATGAAACAGATTTAAAAATATGTGAGCGGAAACGCAGAAAGAACTGCTTTGAAA